TTTATGTAGTATTTGTATTGCAAGTATTTAATTTTGAGCTTTCCAAACCAAATTTCATGCAACTAGTTGTTATGGTAATTAAGTTTTGAGCTTGAACTTGAACTATACCATCTGTTATGGTCTAACTTGTAGGATCAATCAGGCTACTTACTCAGCATCCATACTCTTGAAGATAACTAAATATGGCATTACTATTGTTTGTGCAAATTTATATCATTGGATTCTGTGGTAAACATTCTGAAAGTGTCATGGGTCTTTAATAATCAGCAGCTCAAGAATTTGACAGGGTTGTGGTTCTGAAATAACTCTGGTCCTGCGTTGACAGTGCGCCTTCTAGTGGTGACTAGCAGGACGTTTGGTGAGAAAACAACCACCGTGTCGCACACCCTATTAATACTGAATTCCTGATACAGAGGAAGGTCTGCAAACTGCTGCTCTTCAAGCACCACTCACAGAAACACAATCATATTATTGGTTTCCCATTGCAGACCTGACCAGGATCTGCCTTGCTTAGGTTCAGACAAACATTTTGGTGATATTAAAGAAAGATATTTATTGCACATTTCTAAACACAACTTATCAAAGTGTTTATTTGAAACAACTTCCTTAATCAGTTAAATAAATTACCCTATATTGCAGTTAATTTAATTCTATCTGAGCTCATTACTGATGCTGAATATACAGTTCTCTTTTTCCTGATATATGGTACTGAACTCAATACATCTTTCGGACAAACAGGTTATTCCCCCACGTCTCTTCTTAACAGGAGTCAGTTATTCAGGTGAACAATATTCCCAGGTCTCCATCACACTGAGGTGCTATTGAGGACATGAATTCAGCCTTGTTAGAGATTAGTAACCCATCTTTGACTGGGATAAACAGAGCAAAACATTAACAGACAAAACACCCTAACAGGTTCCATCTGTTTTCACAGCTCAGATCACAACTAACTGTCTGTGACAGGATTTGTATACAGGAAGGAGCTTTGCATACCTGTGCCACCTCACTGCTCCAAACACTTTAAGACTCACAGTGTGGATCAGTCACTGCCCAGCCCTTTCAGAGTCACTGACACACAGGACAATGATGCCACTGATTCTACTGTTGGGGACACTGGGGCTCTTCGCTCAAGGTGAGGATTAAAAAATTAAACTTTTCATAATGTGTGATAAAGTAAATTTGATTTTCATGATTGAGTCGAAATATTTAACCTAATTTTTAAAAGTTCAGTGTGTTAAAACACCAAATGTTTATAACAAGCAAGTATTAATACTCTTTCTTTGTTTCCATTTCACCTCCAGAGTCCAGTGGGCAGATTGTTCTGACTCAGTCTCCAGC